TACTAAAATACACTGTATTTACGCTAAAAGTGCTCTATTTTAGCTGAAAACGCTAAATCATAGAGATAAGGCTAAGTATTTGTGACACTCATATCCTGCTGTGTGTTTATCCGTTTGGGGCGTATTATATCTCGTTGGAAAGATAGATCGGAGCTCTAAAGCTATTGTTCCAACTTCATTTACAATGCATTAAATAAGTTACAAATTAACCATATATAAACAAATGTTTCTGATTTAACTCCCAACTCGTGTAGAATTTGATGCGATCATATCTTGCTCTATTTTGTGTCGTTGAAATTGTTTAATATCTCGTTGGAAAGATCTTACCGAGATCTAAAACTTGTTTTCAGGCGCTGGTTTCAGAATATCAAGGGATGATTGCCTAATTCCTAAAATACACTGTATTTACGCTAAAAGTGCTCTATTTTCGCTGAAAACGCTAAATCATAGAGATAAGGCTAAGTATTTGTGACACTCATATCTTGTTGTGTGTTTATCCGTTTGGAGCGTATTACATCTCGTTGAAAAGTTAGATCGGAGCTCTAAAGCTATTGTTCCAACTTCATTTAAAATGCATTAATTAAATGTTACAGATTAACCATATATTCACAAATGTTTCTGATTTCACTCCGAACTCGTGTAAATTTGATGCGATCATATCTTGCTCTATTTTGTGCCATTGAAAGCGTTTAATATATCGTTGGAAAGATCTTACCATTTTCTAAAACTTGTCTTCAGGCGCTGGTTTCAAAATATCAAGGGATGATTGCCCAATTACTAAAATACACTGTATTTACGCTAAAAGTGCTCTATTTTCTCTGAAAACGCTAAATCATAGAGATAAGGCTAAGTATTTGTGACACTCATATCTTGCTGTGTGTTTATCCGTTTGGATCGTATTATATCTCGTTGGAAAGATAGATCTGAGCTCTAAAGCTATTGTTCAAACTTCATTTACAATGCATTAATTAAAAGTTACATATTAACCATATATTCACAAATGTTTCTGATTTCACTCCGAGCTCGTGTAGAATTTGATGTGATCATATCTTGCTCTATTTTGTGCCGTTGAAAACGTCTAATATTTCGTTGGAAAGATCTTACCTAGTTCTAAAACTTGTCTTCAGGCGCTGGTTTTAAAATATCAAGGGATGATTTCCTAATTACTAAAATACACTGTATTTACGCTAAAAGTGCTCTATTTTCGCTGAAAACGCTAAATCATAGAGATAAGGCTAAATATTTGTGACAATCATATCTTGCTGTGTGTTTATCCGTTTGGAGCGTATTATTACTCGTTGGAAAGATAGATCGGAGCTCTAAAGCTATTGTTCCAACTTCATTTACAATGGATTAATTAAAAGTTACAGATTAACCATATATTCACAAATGTTTCTGATTTCACTCCGAACTCGTGTAGATTTGATGCGATCATATCTTGCTCTATTTTGTGCCGTTGAAAGCGTTTAATATCTCGTTGGAAAGATCTTACCATGTTCTAAAACTTGTCTTCAGGCGCAGGTTTCAATATATCAAGGGATGATTGCCTAATTACTAAAATACACTGTATTTACGCTAAAAGTGCTCTATTTTCTCTGAAAACGCTAAATCATAGAGATAAGGCTAAGTATTTGTGACACTCATATCTTGCTGTGTGTTTATCCGTTTGGAGCGTATTATATCTCGTTGGAAAGATAGATCGGAGCTCTAAAGCAATTGTTCCAACTTCATTTACAATGCATTAATTAAAAGTTACAGATTAACCATATATTCACAAATGTTTCTGATTTCACTCCGAACTCGTGTAGATTTGATGCGATCATATCTTGCTCTATTTTGTGCCGTTGAAAGCGTTAAATATCTCGTTGGAAAGATCTTACCATTTTCTAAAACTTGTCTTCAGGCGCTGGTTTCAAAATATCAAGGGATGATTGCCTAATAACTAAAATACACTGTATTTACGCTAAAAGTGCTCTATTTTCGCTGAAAACGCTAAATCATAGAGATATGGCTAAGTATTTGTGACACTCATATCTTGCTGTGTGTTTATCCGTTTGGAGCGTATTATATCTCGTTGGAAAGATAGATCGGAGCTCTAAAACTATTGTTCCAACTTCATTTACAATGCATTAGTTAAAAGTTACATATTATCCATATATTCACAAATGTTTCTGATTTCACTCCGACCTCGTGTAGAGATTGATGCGATCACATCTTGCTCTTTTTTGTGCCATTGAAAGCGTTTAATATCTCGTTTGAAAGATCATACCGAGTTCTAAAACTTGTCTTCAGGCTCTGGTTTCAAACAATCAAGGAATTATTGCCTAATTACTAAAATACACTGTATTTACACTAAAAGTGCTCTATTTTAGCTGAAAACGCTAAATCATAGAGATAAGGCTAAGTATTTGTAACACTCATATCCTGCTGTGTGTTTATCCGTTTGGGGCGTATTATATCACGTTGGAAAGATAGATCGGAGATCTAAACCTATTGTTCCAACTTCATTTACAATGAATTAATTAAAAGTTACAGATTAACCATATATAAACAAATGTTTCTGATTTCACTCCGAACTCGTGTAGAATTTGATGCGATCATATCTTGCTTTATTTTGTGCCATTGAAAACGTTTAATATCTCGTTGAAAAGTTCTTACCAAGTTCTAAAACTTGTCTTCAGGCGCTGGTTTCAAAATAGAAAGGGATGATTGCCTAATTACTAAAATACACTGTATTTACGCTAAAAGTGCTCTATTTTCGCTGAAAACGCTAAATCATAGAGATAAGGCTAAGTATTTGTGACACTCATATCTTTCTGTGTGTTTATCCGTTTGGAGCGTATTATATCTCGTTGGAAACATAGATCGGAGATCTAAAGCTATTGTTCCATCTTCATTTACAATGCATTAATTAAAAGTTACAGATTAACCATATATTCCCAAATATTTCTGATTTCACTCCGAACTCGTGTAGAATGTGATGCGATCATATCATGCTCTATTTTGTGCCGTTGAAAGCGTTTAATATCTCGTTGGAAAGATCATACCGAGTTATAAAACTTGTCTTCAGGATCTGGTTTCAGAATATCAAGGGATGATTGCCTAATTACTAAAATACACTGTATTTACGCTAAATCATATAGATAAGGCTAAGTATTTTTTAGACTCATATCTTGCTGTGTGTTTATCCATTTGGAGCGTATGATATCTTGTTGGAAAGATAGATCGGAGCTCTAAAGCTATTGTTCCAACTTCATTTACAATTCATTAATTAAACGTTACATATTAACCATATATTCGCAAATGTTTCTGATTTCGCTCCGAACTCGTGTAGGATTTGATGCGATCATATCTTGCTCTAATTTGTGCCGTTGAAAGCGTTTAATATCTCGTTGGAAATATCTTACAGAGTTCTAAAACTTGTCTTCAGGCGCTGGTTTCAAAATATCAAGGTATTATTGCCTAATTACTAAAATACACTGTATTTACGCTAAAAGTGCTCTATTTTCGCTAAAAACGCTAAATCATAGAGATAAGGCTAAGTATTTGTGACACTCATATCCTGCTGTGTGTTTATCCGTTTGGGGCGTATTATATCTCGTTGGAAAGATAGATCGGAGCTCTAAAGCTATTGTTCAAACTTCATTTACATTACATTAATTAAAAGTTACAGATTAACCATGTATTCACAAATGTTTTTCTTATTTCACTCCGAACTCGTGTAGAATTTGTTGCGATCATATCTTGCTCTATTTTGTGCCGTTGAAAGCGTTTAATATCTCGTTGGAAAGATCTTACTGAGTTCTAAAACTTTTCTTCAGGCGCTGCTTTCAATTTTTTTGGATAAAGGGTAATTATATATATAATCCAAAAGAGTTTCTGTACAAGTAAGGCAAAAAATATGGGGGACAAAAATGCTGCTATCCCAACATGGGATATACCATAAACCGGTGGGCTATACAATCAGTCCCAAATCACACAAAATAAGGCATGTAGCCGCACCCTATCAAATGTCAAAAAGTAATAAGCTCATGAGGGTAAATACTATATAGGATCTTATACACCATGTATTGGATCCTGGAAAAAACATCTTCCTCATGGGTCTTCTTATCATCAAATCTGGTGGTATTTCGAACTCTCCATAACCAGTAGATAGTATAGATGAATGCAATTCTGAGTGCCTTGGCCTTGATCCCCACGCCTGCATGATCCTTCCTAATCCACTTGACTGAGCTTTCCAGGGTAGACATCTCTCTTTGCATTCCAATCCATGCTCTTAGTTTGCTCCAAACTGTGCCTGTAAATTGACAACCAAAGAAAAGGTGTGGCACCGTCTTCGGTTCACCCTTGCAAAATGGGCAATTGTTAATCACATCAAGCCTGCTAAGATTATCATACGTTGCAAGGCGGTTGCGGAAGGCAAGCCATGCAATGAATGAGAACTTAGGAGGTATGTAAGCTTTCCAACTAAAGGGCATCCACACCTATTTGGTGCCCTTGACTCAAATCAAGTCATACACTTTTGAAGAGCACAATTTCCCATTTGTAAACATCTTAGAGAGGGCTGTTTTTGTGCTCTGAATGGAGTCATATTTTGAGACAAGGATGTCTCGGATCAGCCCAAACTTCTTAGTAAGCTGGGAGTCCCTAGTGTGTGGGGAAAATTCCTAAAATACTAAAATACAGGCGCTGCTTTCAAAATATCAAGGGATGATTCCCTAATTACTAAAATACACTGTATTTACGCAAAACGTGCTCTATTTTCTCTGAAAACGCTAAATCATAGAGATAAGGCTAAGTATTTGTGACACTCATATCTTGCTGTGTGTTTATCCGTTTGGAGCGTATTATATCTCGTTGGAAAGATAGATCGGAGCTCTAAATCTATTGTTCCAACTTCATTAACAATGCATTGTTTGCCCTCTCTTGAGTAATTTTGTCTGTGGTTATTGGGACCCCAATCATAGATGCTACCTCACTCATAGCTTCATCATCCCATAGCTTCATTGGTAATTTAGGGAACTTGACCCAAATTGGTACTTTAAGAAACTCCTCATCCTCAAACGAGAAGTCATCCAAAAGTTCTTTTAGCATAAGGAGTTTCCCAAACACATTGTAAGGACCGTCATGTAGTACTTTCAATCTATCCTCCTCATTAGTGAATTTAAAGATTACCCATCCCTTGTTATGGGACCTCACAAAACATCTCACACCCCATGTAGCTTTGAGATCATGAACCGCTTTAAGTCCGGGAAAATTTCCGGTAAAGTGTCCAACTAGGCAAAAGCCCCACATTTCGACCATGGAGGGTAAAACACGATCACCAAAGTCCAAGGTTTCCCCTTTAGGAGGGACATATTTCAGTTTGATACCATGCTTTGGGTCACGGTTATCCTTAAAAAGGGCATTCCAAGGTTTGGCCTGGGCTGCCTGCTCGTTATCTATGGTTACTGCCACAGTTTTGACACTATCATCCTTTGTCAAATTTTCTACAGCAGGTGTCTGTTTAGCAGCTTCACCTTTCCCAGCAGCAGGTGAGTTGATTGCAGTAGGTGCTTTAGTCACAAGAACTAAAGCCTTAGAAGTAGTAGGTGTTTTTTCATTTCCATGAGTATCATCCATGTCTGCAGTATTAACAGCATGTTCTCCAGCCTTCTGGCCACCAGTGGTTGTGAAATTCTTCCCAGAATTGTGGCCTGAAACAGTCTGCCTAGTGGCAGAAACACATTTAGCATGTTCAGTACCTGCAGGCCAAGTGGCAGAACCACATTTTGCAGCAGGACCTGCAATTTTTTCAGCAATAACCGCAGGTCCCTTCACTGATTCTGCGAGCTCAAGGAATTCCTCCTCAAGATGGTTGAGTACCTCAAAACCCGCTGCCTTAGACCTAGTAACTCTGGGCATTGCTTCCCCCTTCCCAGCCTTTTTTTTATTCATAGCAGGTTTACAGTACTGCAAACCGAGGTCAAAGAAACAAGGGAAACACAACTTGGTAATTCAAAAAAACTCAGAAAAACCGACCTAAGCTCTGTTGCTGTAGTAAACCGAGCTTCGTCCTTGCTATACGAGTCCCATACAAGTCACAGACCCCAAACAAATTCCAAAAATTCAAAGAAATGAACTGAATTGCAGACTACAGGAACAGTACAAAAACCTTCGAATTTTGCGGTTTTGGTCCCAAAACGTCATTCCAAGCTCAAAATCAAGGTCGAAATTGAGATTAGAATTAGAAATTGACTAAGAACATAGCATTCACGAAGTAAAACCAATGATACCAGCGATTTTCATACGCCAAAGAGCCTAGGTCGCGTGAATCGCATTTTTTCCTAGGGAGAGAAAGCTCTCAACTTCAGGCGCTGGTTTCTTTTGGCGCTTTGGGCGCTGGTTTCAAAATATCAAGGGATGATTGCCTAATTACTAAAATAAACTTTATTTACGCTAACAGTGCTCTATTTTCGCTGAAAACGCTAAATCATAGAGATAAAGCTAAGTATTTGTGACACTCATATCTTGCTGTGTGTTTAACCGTTTGGAGCGTATTATATCTCGTTGGAAAGATAGATCGGAGCTAATAATAATAATAATAATAATAATAATAATAATAATAATAATAATAATTATAATAATAATAATAATAATAATAATTATTATTATTATTATTATTATTATTATTATGATTATAATTATAATTATAATAATAATAATAATAATCATAATAATAATAATAATAATCATAATAATAATAATAATAATAATAATAATAATAGTAATAATAATAATAAGAATAATAATACTAATACTAATAATAATAATAATAATAATAATAATAATAATAATAATAATAATAATATTAATAATAGTAATAATAGTAATAATAATATTAATAATAATAGTAATAAAAATAGTAATACACTGTATTTACGCTAAAAGTGCTCTATTTTCGCTGAAAACGCTAAATCATAGAGATAAGACTAAGTATTCGTAAAACTCATATCTTGTTGTGGGTTTATCCGTTTGGGGCGTATTATATCTCGTTGGAAAGATAGATCGGATCTCTAAAGCTATTGTTCCAACTTCATTTACAATGCATTAATTAAAAGTTACAGATTAACCATATATTCACAAATGTTTCTGATTTCACTCCGAACTCGTGTAGAATTTGATGCTATCACATCTTGCTCTTTGTTGTGCCATTGAAAGCGTTTACTATCTCTTTTGAAAGATCATACCGAGTTCTAAAACTTGTCTTCAGGCGCTGGTTTCAAAACATCAAGGGATTATTGCCTAATTACTAAAATACACTGTATTTACGCTAAAAGTGCTCTATTTTAGCTGAAAACGCTAAATCATAGAGATAAGGCTAAGTATTTGTGACACTCATATCCTGCTGTGTGTTTATCCGTTTGGGGCGTATTATATCTCGTTGAAAAGAAAGATCGGAGCTCTAAAGCTATTGTTCCAACTTCATTTACAATGCATTAATTAAAATTTACAAATTAACCATATATAAACAAATGTTTCTGATTTCACTCCGAACTCGTGTAGAATTTGATGCGATCATATCTTGCTCTATTTTGTGTCGTTGAAATTGTTTAATATCTCGTTGGAAAGATCTTACCGAGTTCTAAAACTTGTTTTCAGGCGCTGGTTTCAGAATATCAAGGGATTATTGCCTAATTACTAAAATACACTGTATTTACGCTAAAAGTGCTCTATTTTCGCTGAAAACGCTAAATCATAGAGATAAGGCTAAGTAATTGTGACACTCATATCTTGCTGTGTGTTTATCCGTTTGGAGCGTATTATATCTCGTTGGAAAGATAGATCGGAGATCTAAAGCTATTGTTCCAACTTCATTTACAATGCATTAATTAAAAGTTACAGATTAACCATATATTCACAAATATTTCTGATTTCACTCCGAACTCGTGTAGATTTGATGCGATCATATCTTGCTCTATTTTGTGCCGTTGAAAGCGTTTAATATCTCGTTGGAAAGATCTTACCATTTTCTAAAACTTGTCTTCGGGCGCTGGTTTCAATTTTTGGGTAAAGGGTAATTATATATCATCCAAAAGAGTTTATGTACAGGTAAAGCAAAATGGGGGAACAAAAATGGGGCTATCCCAACATGGGATATACCATAACCTATGAGCTATAAAATCACTCCCAAAGCACAAAAATAGAGGGGCAGTCTGCCACCTCACACAACCATGGCCAAAAATACAAAAAAGAGGGGCATTGAGCCACCTCACGCCATCAAGTATCAAAACATAATAAGTTCATGTGGTTAAATACTATAAAGGATCTTATACACCATGTATTGGATCCTAGCAAAAACTTCCTCCACACAATCTTCGGCTGCATCAAATCTTGTTGCATTTCGTACTCTCCATATCCAATAGATGGTATAGATGAATGCAATACGGACTGTTTTGGCCTTGATCCCCGCACCTCCGTAGTCCTTCTTGATCCATTTCACCGAGCTATCCAGAGTTGTCATAAGCCTAGGCATTCCAATCCAAGCTCTCACTTTGTTCCATATTGTACCTGTAAATGTACACTCAAAGAATAGGTGTGATACCGTCTCCGGTTCACCCTTGCAAAATGGACATAGGTTAATCAATTCAAGCCTACTAAGATTGTCATACGTTGCTAGGCGATTTCGAAAAGCAAGCCAAGAAATGAATGAGAACTTAGGTGGAATATAGGCCTTCCAAATAAAGGCCATCCATACATGCTTAGTACCCTTAGTTCTAATCAAGTCATAAACTTTGGAGGAGCACAATTTACCATTTTGGGAAAGCTTTGCGAGGCCATCAATTGTGCTCCCAATGGACTCATATTTGGAGATTAAGAGGTCCCGGATCTGCCCAATATTCTTCATAAGTTGGGAGTCACTAGTGTGTGGGGAGAAATCCCACACACATCTCCCCTTAAGATAGACCCCATGTACCCATTTCACCCAAAGCGTGTCACGCTTAAGGTGGATATCCCACAGGGTCTTGGAAAGTAAGGCATTATTCCAAGTTTTGGTGTGTCTAATACCTAATCCCCCTTCCTCTTTTGGGAGACACATGTCAGCCCAAGCCACCCTTGCAAATTTACACCCCCAAAAGAATACACGACAAAGTGAAGTCACCCTATCAAGGATGGCTTGAGGTATAGGGAACACCTGTAACCAAAAGGAGTGTACACCCTGGATAACAGATTTGATTAGTTCAGTTCTACCAGCATATGACAAACTCTTGGTATTCCATGAATTAAGATAGTTTGAAATTTTTTCCAAGAGGGGGGCATATTCGACCACAGAAAGTTTTAGGGGGGACAATGGGATCCCAAGGTATTTGACCGGGAATGCACCAACCTTGAAATCCACCAAATCAAGTATAGCCGAGAGTTCATTGTCTTTAACCCCACCCAAAAAAATGTTTGATTTTTCAAAATTGACTCTTAAACCCGAAACATCACCAAAGTCATTAAGTGCATCAATTAAAATCTTGATAGAGTACGTGTCACCTCTACAAAATAACATAAGATCATCAGCGTATGCAAGATGTGAGAATTTCAAGCTACCACATTTGGGATGAAAATTAAACCCAGACATAGTTCTCATGTTTAGAAGTCTAGACAGGTATTCCAAGCAAAGCACAAACAAAAGAGGGGACATAGGATCCCCTTGTCTAAGGCCCCTCTTCCCACGGAAGAAACCATGTAAGGTCCCATTTAGGGAGATTGAAAAAGAAGGAGTAGAGACACACTCCATTATCCAATTAACAAATTTCAAAGGAAAGCCAATGTTAAGAAGTACACTTTTAAGAAAGTCCCAAGAGATGGTATCATAAGCTTTCCTAAGGTCCACCTTAATCATACATCTAGGAGAGCAATGCTTTCTAGTGTACCCCTTAACAAGCTCTTGTGCCAAGAAAATGTTATCCATCATAAGTCTACCATTAACAAAAGCCCCTTGAGCATGGTCAATCAAGCCCGATAGACATGGAATCATTCTATTAGCAATAATCTTAGTGATGACCTTATAGATAACATTTGTACAAGCAATAGGTCTAAAATCCGAAGCCATGGGAGAGTGTGAGGTCTTAGGAATTAAAGCAATAATCGTGTGATTGATTTGCTTCAATAGCCTACCCGAATCAAAGAAACCATTAACAGCTTCTATAACATCATCTCCAACAACAGCCCAGTTTTCTTTGAAAAACGCAGAAGTGAACCCATCTGGCCCCAGGGCCTTGTCATCCCCAATGTCAAAAATAGCATTCTTAATCTCAATGTCTAAGATGGGAGCAATGAGGCCAGAGGTCTGCCCTATGTCCATACATATCCCAGATTGAATGATACAAGGATCAATTGGAGGACAACTTACCGGAGTACCAAACAAGTTCACATAAAAATTTTCCAGTTCATTTGCCACTTGCTCAATGGAAGTTGTTAGCTCACCATTAGGTAGTTTTAAGGCTGTAATGGAGTTCCTTGCAGCCTTCTTTTTCACAAGGG